AGCCAGAACTCAAACTACAAAAGCTGTCTGTGATGGCCTCTTCAGTGATCACCTAAACCAACATTTGATAAATAATGAATTAACGTTGCTCATCACACCAAAACCAAGTTAAAGATTGCATTATTTCACAGAAATGCATGATGTTATGTCCTTTTTAGCACTACCCCTTCCCCCACCGCCCAATGATGTAGTACAGTTAGCATTGCTGCATTTAGTGTGTTGCTTCCAAGCTAGGTAATTATCCATATAGGACAAATCCATCCTAAAATACTTTGCCATTTTGTAAGCAGCCTTAACCGTATAGCTAGGGGAAAGACAGGATGATATGATTGTGTTCTTTGTGATGTTGGTGATTATTTGTTTTGTTTTGTTTTTGTCGTGTCAGAAGTGACTTGAGAAACTGCAAGTCGCCTCTGGTGTGAGAGAATTGGCCGTCTGCAAGGGCGTTGCCCAGGGGACGCCCGGATGTTTTGATGTTTTTACCATCCTTCTAGGAGGCTTCTCTCATATCCCCTCATGAGGAGCTGGAGCTGATAGAGGGAGCTCATCCGCGCTCTCCCCTGATTCGAACCTGCGACCTGTTTGTTGGTCTTTAGTCCTGCCTGCACAGTGGTTTAACCCACTGCGCCACCGGGGGTTCCTGTTGGTGGTGCTCATGGGGAAATGCATCTCCCTCCATCAGCTACTGTGAAAATAGCTAAGCATGACAGGCATGGAAGTTATTATTATGCTTTTGTTATTATTATTATATTTATTTATACCCCACTTTATCTCTCCCAAAAGGGACTCAAAGCGGTTTAACATAAAAGCACCAGTAGACAATTTAAAATATACAAATATTCAAACCTTAAAAACAGAATCTATATAAATAAAAATGTAATGTTCATTTGTAGGATTAACATAACTAAAAAACACAGGACGAATTGACATCAAATTTGGACACAATACACCTATCAGGCCAAGGAGTGACCATCACTCATAAAACACTGAAAAACACAGCAGAAGGGACTTAAAAAGCAAAAAAACCCCAAACAAAACATTACAATGCATGCACTAAACTACATATATACACATACATATACACAAATATACACACGCATATACACACACATATATATACATACAAAACACATATACATAGCCTGAGTCACAGCAATGCATGGCAGGGGGTGGCTAGTTAAATATAAACAGTATTAAAAATTCACAGTTAAAATACCATTCAAATATATTCAATGCATATTTAAATTAAAACCACAGCACCTCTTGTGATATTGTTCCTGTTCATCCAAAAGTACAGGATGAGGCCTCCAGATCCGATAGCTTTGGCTGCATGCATGTTAACATTCATTGACTTTTAAATCTGATTGTAATATTTATTTCTTTTATTTTTATTTCACCACAACTTGTAGCAGACAATCAGTCCTTGCACTTGCCATTTTACTTTCCTTGTCCCTGCTATTTTAATTTTCCTGGGTATTTTATTATTCATAGAGGAGGAATCACACTCCCTCAGGAGCTACTTAAAACAAGGTAATGTCCACAGGTCATTGGGTTTTACTAATGGATTGTTTGTGGCAGGAGGATAGATTAGATGGCTCTTGCAGTATCTGATTGTTTTCTAATTGTATAATTCAGAAATGCTTGGAAGCATTAACAGAATACAAAACGATGGCCACTTAAACCTACAATTGTTCCTACCATTACAAAAATTAATATCCCCACCGCTCGCAAATGGTAAAAGGAGATATGAATAGGAACAGGCTGCCTCAAACCATCCAGAGCTACCAATGGTGCACCTTTCTTCTACAGCCCCATTAGCCTTAAGGCCAACCCAAGTATTGTGCCAGCTGAGACACACACCTCCCTCTAGTGCACTAGCAAATAAGAAACCATAATGATACATTAATAATGGACAATCTCTGTCTTATTATATACCAGGAATGAATAAGAGTAAAAAGAACCCAGAATTTGGGAATGTTACTTTTTAAGGGATAATAACTCTCATGACCCCTCCACCAGTTGTATGATGGGAGCTATAGTCCAAAAAGGTGACTTTTCCAAACTTTTTATAACTCATCCCATTCATTTAATTCATCAATCCACTTTTTTCAGTTGAAAGGGCACAATTTAGGTCAAAGTTTAAGTGTGTGCTGAATGGGATATGCTTCACTGTTTGTTTCTCCCAGTGTCCTCATCAAGACCCTTTAATGACCCACTAAGAACTTCTTGCTTTCTTCAGCCAGTATATATATATTGCTGAAGGCTGTTTGCTGCATCTGGTATTTATTTACCTGGAAACATCCCAACTTGCTTTAACTTTTGAAGCAGAATACTTCCTAAAATGACCATTGGTATGGTTTTTCAGTTTAATCATTTTTAATGTTTATTCCCACAATTGATCTGTTTGTATTCATATACTATAGCTGTAGCTCAAACATATTTGACAACATTTAGTACCTCACTAAAACATGGCAAGAGCATAAAAAAAACAGTGCACTGGCATTTTATATAATATATGAGAGTTTATGGGCATGTAAATAAAGTTGAGAGGAATCCGAACTCCTACAATGGATATTTAATTGTAATCCCATTCATGCATTCCTGGAAATAAGCCACAGTGCACTGAGTGGATTTTGCTTTGAATAGACAAACATGGAAATACACTGTTAGCATTAGGACACATGTGGAGAGGAACACAGTACTATACATATCAATGTGTCATGGTACTTTCCTCTACCACAAAACACCATGAGTAGAAAATCATAGGTGGGCTTGATGCCCTTCTCCCTTGTGACAAAACATCTTTAGGAATTTATGAAAATGACTAGGAGGAAAAGAGTTAATCTTTCTCTCTCCTTGTCTGCCCTTTGCTCAGTATTGCAATGGATGTGGAATATAAAATACAAAGGATAAAGAATCATTGCACGGCACATGAGCTATCATTCCTTTTACCAAGCTCTGTTCTGAATCCTAATGGATTTTGTTATAGAACTTGGGTTTGCAGCATTTTTTTCAGCAGTGACTTGTTCTTTTCCTGTTCTACACATAAACAGCTGGTCTATACATATTCTTTCTGTACACATGTAAGATGAGAGGAGTTGCCATATGTTGTAGTAACTGCTTCTGAATTTTCCAGATTAATTGATGTGGAATTAGGTGACAGGCAAATGTTATTTGCAGAATAATTCCTGATTTCTTGTGGACATATCAGGTCAGCAAAGTGTATTACTGATATTCAGCCATATCCTTGATGGGGTTTTTTGCAAAGTTTTTTGTAAAACTAGAATTGAAGACATACATACATATATGAAAATAAGGACTTCATCAGATTGAGCGAGGGGAAATGGGGGAAAGTAGAGGGAAACATTTTACCCCATTCCCTCCCATCTTTCCCAATCTTGTGCTCTGATGATGATGATAATGATAATGGACGATTTTATTTATAACCCGCCCTGTCTTCCCAAAGGGTATGGCCGGCCATCCCATGTCCTTACTGAGTTGATGCCCATATTTCCTCCACTTTATCCTATCTTAAAGCTGTTTGGAGTTGGGTAACACCCAACTCCTGAAGATGGATGAAGGGCTCAATTTCCATGCACTGTGGAAGTGGAGTTCCACTGGAAATGCCCTTAGTCATGTGATGATCTCTGTGGGCTCCCATGGTGCATGGAAATGGAGCCCTACACCCGTCTGATGATGTCCAAAGTCTTATTCAGCATATAAAATTGCTGAATAAAATTGTAGAGGACTGAGCCCAATATGCAGAGAACTGCATGAAAAATAAAGTACTCAACAAAGTTTCTGTACTTTCCCCCAAAGTTGAATAGCAGCTTTAGAACAAGGACTGAAATCAGGAAACTGGCATAGGGGGAATTATTAACTTAATTCCACACATTGAATAAAAATGTATCTAATCTGAATTGATTTTTCCATACTTTATTTAAAAAAGAAGTAAATCCTCTTATTGAATCTTCCATGTCATGTCTCATTGAGTCCTCATCATGGAAAGTTTAAGGGATCATACCTCCGCAGCCCTGCCATTCACACCTAAGTGAGACATCATCACATACAGTAACCCTGCAAGCAACTTTCTGTTCCAACTTTTAGAACTGGATCTGTTTTTTTTAAAAAAAACTAAAGCAATACATACTCAATATTAAATTGTAAAAATGAAGTACAACCCAAAATCCATTTGTTTATTACATTTATTAAGAAAAACTCAAACAAGTGTGGCAAAGTTACCAAGCATGGATTTAAAACAAAGTGAGTTTATGCCATTGACACGACTGGAACAATGGTTGTTTGGAGTGTTGAAGTAGGAAACTGAGAAAATGGAAAGGTCCAAAGGAATTGCATTGGTGTTGAAAGTGGATGGCTGGGCTATCACTCACCTTCTCTCAATGGTGACCTGCTTCTGTGATCTCATGTGCCATTTTCTTTTATTCCTAGAAGGATTTTTCTCTTCCTGATATTCTGGAATCAATTAGACTTTGAGGAGATCTGTCAACCATTTGGGATATAAATGAGCTCCTCTTTCTTCTTCCAGGCATCTCCTTAAGAAGGAAAGCTTCTCATAGGCTTCTAAAGCACTCAGAATGTATCACTCAAAAGGAATCATTAGCCGACTGCTATTTAGCTAGCAGCAAGTTGCAACCACTGCAAAGTTTCAAATTAATAGCAACAAGAATGGGAAATGAAATCATTTATTACTCCTGAAAGCCAATTTTACACACTTCTTTTGTCTTGAGACTGCTTTCTAATCTTATTATTTAAAAAATAATGATCCAATCTTAGCCTTGGTTCTTCAGTTCTTTTCTAAGCCAGCCTTTCAGACCTTCGGTACTGTATGTTCGTTTCAAACTGGTTTCAGCAAAAACTCGTTAGAATTATATGCCCCATCTGTTTTACTCACTGGGCGCCTTACAAAGAATGGTACTTTAAATAAATCAACAATAACTATGTGCACTACTCAAGTAATTGGGATTTTTTTTCCTTCACAGTTAAAAAAAAGTACCAAGGACTTAGCAGAGACTAATGGCCATGACGAATCTCAGGCAAATGTAGGTACAACTTTTTATTTCTGTGTCAAGTTTCTGTTTACTATTTATACTCAGAAAAAATAGTAGTTGCAGTGGATTAATGTTCCAGAGAAATTGTCATTTTTCTTTTGAGTTTACATTTCAGGATACCTTTTTCAATATGAATTGATTGGATTTTTTCAATTTTCTAAGACCAGTTTTTTAGACTTTATGATAATAAAATCACCATGAAGACTCAGTGAGTCCCTTCATCTTATTTTTCAATCACTCAGTCACTATATTTCTGTCTTTGTAAATTAACAAAATAATATTTAAGACCTCACTTCACATCTATCAAACCTTTATCAAAGCAATTTACCATAATCAGGCTCGTAGCCAGGATTTCGATTCGAGGGGGGGGCTGAGTTTGTTTCGGGGGGGGGCTGAGTTCGAGTGAAAGAGGGTCTACCCTAGCAAACCTTTTGTATCGTTACCCCAATACCCCCATGCATATGGGATATATTGAGTATGGTGATCAGATCATGATATGAATAAACATAACAGTTTAAATAAGGCACCAGTAAGGCCTTTTCGCGAACCACCATGAGAATTTCGGGGGGGGGGCTGAAGCCCCTCAACCCCTCCCCCTCCGGCTACATGCCTGACCATAATCATATATAGCACCATAAAAGCACCGGGGGGGGGGGATGGAATAGTAGAAAAGCAATATAGGCCCCTTCCACACAGCCCTATATCTCAGAATATCAAGGCAGAAAATCCCACAATATCTGTTTTGAACTGGGTGATCTGAGTCGACACTCAGATAATGTGGTATTTTCTCCCTTGATATTCTGGGATATATGGCTGGTGAAACTGGCGTTTAATCCACCCTTGTTGCTTACCCTTCCCAAGTCTTCTTTTTACCTAAGAAAAGGGAAGTTTTTATCATATCAATATAACAAGCCATTTCACACCTAAAACCAAATATGATTAGTAGTGTGATGACATGGTTCCTGGAAAAATCTCTCAAGCTGGCAATGTTTTCCCTAAGCCTTTAATCTACCAAGGCCCCTTCCACACAGCTGTAAAAAATCCACATTGAACTGGATTATATGGCAATGTGGACTCAGATAACTCAGTTCAAAGCAGATATTGTGAATTTTCTGCTTCCTGATATGACTTGGGCCATTGCCTCAGCTAGGATATTATAGCATACAGTGACTGGCAATGGTTCTTCGGGTATTGTTTTGTTTTGTTTTGTTTGTTTTTGGTTTGTTTTCGGTTTTGTGGGGTTTTGGGGGGGTTGGAACTGTGAGATAGTTGTGTCAGACTCTAGGACCTTTTGAATGAGGGGCTTCTTGTCCTTTGGCAAGAAGAGAAAACTGAGGGCAAGAGTGGAGGACAACTCATTCACAAAGCATGCACAAATGTGTTAGTCATACCGATAGAACGAAAATATATGTATTATACAAATATAACAACTTCCTTTTCAGGGACCTAAAAATTACTGCGCAGTTTAAAACATCTGGATTTGCTTCCTACCCTTTACCAATATAATAATTTATCTGTAATTTGATTCAAAATGAGCAATGGAGACAAAAGGAAAGTGCATCTCGGGAACAGTTTCCATGGCACTAGAAATCATGAATTCACAATGTATGAGAGATTAATTCTATTTGGGTGGATTATACTTTCAAATTAATTTACTCTAGGGCTACAGCATTAAAGTAGCCTGACAAGAATGTGTTCTTCATCTGGAAATCCCAGACAGTCTAAGGCACTACCTCTCATGCATTGGAATTGATGGGGATCATGAGAGTCCCCCAGGTGCCAAGGAATGAAGGCAACACAGTGTGTCAAATGCATTGCCTTAAGGCTATATTCTTGCTTCATCTGGACTTAGTCTCACAGCCAGTGACAGAATCGGATCTCAAAACAAATTCTACTTGGACTTATCTCTCAGCTGACAATCAAATCAAATGTACAGAGCTGGACAAAGGGAACTCTAAATGTGCTTTAAGTCTATAATGTTAAGCCATCAAATGGCTGCCTGGTTGTAAGCCACCTTGAGTCACCTTCGGGTTCAAGAAAGGCAGGATAGAAATATAGTAAATAAATAAATAAATAAACCCTTGAATTGGTGTGCTCCTTTCCCAAGGCAAAGCCAATAAAAGATGGCCCCTCGAGGATTAGGTAGTGCAGAAGCAAACAAAAAAAAAATAGGCAAATATGACCCAGCTCCTTGCCCCCAATAGCTATGAGAACAGGTCAAGCAGATTAGCAGCGGAGAAAAACCCATTCTCCCAGACCATTCCCAGTCTATTCCCATTGTTTAATGAATGCAAAATGTATCCAACAAGATCATTAATACAAATTAATCTTTTCATGCCTCTGCCTAACTTAGCATTTGGCCATGATGCTAACAGAGATTGAAAATCAGCCTGGTGGCAGTGGAAAGGGTTATAATTTCCCCCATTTATTTGAAGTATTAAAATAGAATTCAAGAGATGCATCTCTTCAAAATCCATTAATAGAATCATAGAATCCTAGAGTTGGAAGATACCTCATGGGCCATCCAGTCCCTGCCAAGAAACAGGAAAATTGCATTCAAAGCACCCCCGACAGATGGCCATCCAAGCTCTGTTTAAAAGCTTCCAAAGAAGGAGCCGCTACCACACTCTGGGGCAGAGAGTTCCACTGCTGAACGGCTCTCACAGTCAGGAAGTTCTTCCTAATGTTCAGGTGGAATCTCCTTTCTTGTAGTTTGAAGCCATTGTTCTGCATCGTAGTCTCCAGGGCAGCAGATAACAAGCTTGCTCCCTCTTCCCTATGACTTCCTCTCACGTATTTATACATGGCTATCATGTCTCCTCTCACCTTTCTCTTCTTCAGGCTAAACATGCCCAGCTCTTTAAGCCGCTCCTCATAGGGCTTGTTCTCCAGACCCTTGATCATTTTAGTCGCCCTCCTCTGGACACATTCCAGCTTGTCAATATCAGTTTAAACATTCAGTTTAAACAGCCTTCGAACTATGGTGAAAAGTTTGAAAAGTAGAACCATGAATGTTTGTGTGTACTGAGCATAAGAATAGGCATGCAGGATCAGCAGGATGGTCCATCTAGCATCATATATCCCATAACTGCTAGCATACCTGTTTCTGAGGCCCCTTCCACACAGCAGAATAAAAACCCACATTATCTGCTTTGAACTGGACTATATGGTGGCATAACTCAGTTCAAAGCAGATATTGTGGGATTTTTTGCCTTGATATTCTGGGTTATATGGCTGTGTGGAAGAGCCCTGAGATGTCAATAAATTGGAAATCAAGAGCAGTTATCTCTTATTCCTTTCTATGATTCAGGGGTTTGTTTTATCCTCAGACCGTGCAGACTCTTCATGTAGACAGCCAGGTATCAAGGCTGGGGATCTAATGCACTTTCTCTCCTACTGGGCTTCACTCTACACTTTGCATTTGCACTCTGATTGATTTGCTGAGTGTCAACAAGCACTTAGTCATATGGTTCCAGAAAACTGTGGCTAGGAAATATGGACCATATATTCAACTTGTTATATTAATAATGAATCATAATGAAGGTTTCACTTGCTGCAGTAATGAAGATTATTGATGGACGATATGCCCTGTAAAAAGCATATCATGACTAACACTTCTTTTAATATAGTGGGTATTAATATGCAAGGCTGACTTTTCTGGGAAAAAGCTCTCAAAACTGCATTTATTACTAAGGAAAGTTTACAAGTTCCTTTTCCCTTGAGGCTCATCTCTATGTCTGAGCAGATCAAAATGCCCTGAGAGGGAAGGATTTGGTGGCTCTTGCTTGGTTATTAGTGGTCTGTGATGCATTTAATGGGATTAGTACCTATTTGATACAGTTGACAAGTTGGATTTAGCAAATACCCTCATATTCAGTGCAAGATCAGTGCAGTGTTGGCAAGGAAATGCAGAGATGCCTGTCCTGCATTTTGAAATATCTATGAGAGGGTGTTACTTAAAAGTCCATAAAGAGGCATATTTCAAACAAGCCTGGCATTTTTGTCATATTGAGCATGGCAAAGATACAAGTGCAAGAAACGCTGACCTGTTACAATTTCTGTTTTTAAAGCGCAACTGTGAAATGCTTTCTACCTTGGGACTGATGTTGTGCAGTAATTTGATACATTTCACTGTTGTTTCTTTCTCGGTTAAAAGAGAAACAAATAAAATGCAGGCACATTAAACATGAAATGAAGTGATGGCATAGAACGAAGCTCTTTGAAATGCCAGCTTTTAGCTTGAAGCATTTGCAAATAGGGAAATGGTACTACTCCAAAATTACCAACTGTGCATTGTAAGATTTTGTCATGTTCACTGGAGACGTGTTTGCATGATTGGGCACTACTAGGCAACTTGGACTTGTGAAATATTGCTCTTAACCTTCTCATCGCCTTCATCGCTTGAATACTGATGTAAAGGAAATATTCCAAGGATCCAAGTTTTGGGGATTAGGCAGGTATTGGGCTATTCTCAGGGAGATATCCACCTTCATTTTGTTTAGACTCCTCAAACTTCATTGGTATTTTCATTGGTACACATCTCACCATGCTAAAACACTGGATGTGGCTCTTCATGAGACATGCTACATTATCACAGGCTGTCTGCGCCCTACACCACTGGAGAAATTACACTGTCTAGCCGGTATTGCACCACCTGACATCCGCCGGGAAGTAACAGCCAGTAATGAAAGGACCAAGGCATTGACATCTCTGGACCATCCTCTGTTCGGATATCAGCCAGCAAGCCAATGCCATAAATCAAGAAATAGTTCTTTAAGATCTACAGAGATACTCGCAGGAACACCTCAGTAAGCAAGAGTCTGAAAGAGGCAGGCTAAAATCCAGCACCTCAACCCATGGCAGATACCAAATGGGAGACTCCCTCCTGGGCACACAGAAGACTGGCAACTTGGAAGGTGCTGAACAGACTGCACTCTGGCACCACGAGATGCAGAGCCAACCTTAAGAAATGGGGCTACAAAGTGGAGTCC